GCTCCTCTGGATAATTTTCCTAAGGTCAGTATGTCACGTAACACAACTTAGTCACAGGACAGCCAGTGATGATGTACTCATATATACCACAAGCCAGGAAATTTTGGGCACCATTTTAGAATTCTGCCTACTACACCTCCTATCCCTAAATCTGATTTCAAAGCCCATGTTCTTCCTGCTACCCAAAGCTGATTGATAATATACAGAGACTGAGATTGCTTGGGGCTGACGATACAATGTCAGTAGATGAAAAGCAGACATAAATCTCTTCCTCTTCTGTTCTGTTTCCATGACTTCTGTCAAAAAGAATGTTCTGTGAATCCTAGCATGTATTAAGTGCTCAATAAATAGGGCTGAATGAATGATGGATTGGACACAAGAGAGTACTTGAAGGCTTAATGTAATAAGTAGATTTTAAATGAAGACCTAATTGTGTTAATAGAGATTCTCTATTTCTGAGTCCTGAGAGACTAACATGTGAGATTCCTGCAAAATCAACTTCTTGAATGAATTTCTTCTTTTTTTTTTTTTTTTTTTTTTTTTTTTTTGAGACAGAGTTTTGCTCTTGTTACCCAGGCTAGAGTGCAATGGCATGATCTCGGCTCACCACAACCTCCGCCTCCTGGGTTCAGGCAATTCTCCTGCCCCAGCCTCCCCATTAGCTGGGACTACAGGCACGCGCCACCATGCCCAGATAATTTTTTGTATTTTTAGTAGAGACGGGGTTTCACCATGTTGACTAGGATGGTCTCGATCTCTCGACCTCGTGATCCACCCATCTCAGCCTCCCAAAGTGCTGGGATTACAGGCTTGAGCCACCGTGCCCGGCCTTGAATGAATTTCTTGAATGAATGAGTGAACAAATTTGTTTGGTGATCCTCTGACCATGGGACTAGGAAACCTATCCAAATTAAAAACCCCAAAACCAATTTGGCAGCATATATTTGTTCTTAACAACACTGTAGGAAAACTCTTAGATAGTCTCTTCTACATTTCACTATTAAGTGTTAAAGACACAATTATTATTAAATAATAAATTATTAAAGACACAATATCTACATTGTAGGTTTGAGCAGTGCAAGTGACCTTATATTAAAACAATGAAATGTTTTTCATCCATAGTAGAATGCAAAGCTCTGAAGACAAGATTATGTGTTCGTTTTGTGTGTGTGTGTGTGTGTGTGTGTGTGTGTGTGTTTTGGGATAGGGTCTCACTCTGTCACCCAGGCTGAAGTGCAGTGGTGCAATCATGGCTCACTGTAGCCACCACCTCCTGGGCTCAAGTGATCCTTTCACCTTAGCCTCTCAAGTAGCTGAGACTATAGGTGCACATCACCATGCCTGGCTAATTTTTTGAACAGACAGGTTCCCACTATGTTGCCCAGGCTGGTCTCAAACTCCTGGCCTCAAGTGATCCCCCCACCTCGGCCTCCCAAAGTGCTAGATTCTACAGGCATGAGCCACTTTGCCCAGCCTATGTGTTTACTTTGTACTATACTGAACTTTGGTTTACATACACACATGAGTTCTATGCATTCTGTTCAATCAATATTAGCTATAATTATTTTCCATGACCCTATATAGATTCAATTCCAAAATACCCTGTTATAATAAATCTCCATTTAATTACATATGAAATACATTCATGATTAATCAATTATAATTTGAGAAAATCCTTAAATAATTCTTTTTAATTTGTGAATGTACCAAGGTGTCAATATATCATGGTAAAGCACAATGTGAGAACTTAAATCTCCTTGTCACAGATGCATCTGTCTTTAGTTTAAAAAATGTTAAACGTATTTTAATATATCTAATGCTTTTCTCATCCTGTGTGGCATATTCTTTAAAATACTAACTTTATTATAGGTACCTTCATCACTGCAATAAATTAGTAACTACCACAAGTCTATCACGAACAGAACGCTACCTAGACAAAACTAGTACAAAAAGAAAAGAAAAAGAAACAGGTGCTTGAAATGCTACCTGTCTTCTGGAAATATACATACAATTCTCATATAAGCATGTGTATTAGTCCATTCTCACACCATTGTGAAGAAATACTCAAGATTGGGTAATTTAGAAAGGAAAGAGGTTTAACTGATTCACAGTTCTGCATGGCTGGGGAGGCCTCAGGAAACTTGCAGTCATGGCAGAAGGCAAAGAGGAAGCAAGACATCCTCTTCACAAGGCAGTAGGAAGGAGAAGTATGAGAGCCGAGCAAAGGGAGAAGCCCCTTATAAAACCATCAGATCTTGTGAGCACTTACTCACTATTTCGAGAATAGCATGGGAGAACTACGCCCATGATTCAGTTACCTCCCACCGGGTTCCTCCCACCATACATAGGGATTATGGGAACTACAATTCAAGATTGGATTTAGGTGGGGACACAGCCAAACCACAGCAGCATGTATATGACCGAACTAGAAAAGACACTACCTAGTATGTGATAACATAGTGCTAAGACACGTCAAATTTTAAGATACATCCCAAATTCCAAGATGTTAAAGATGAAAATACAACCCATCTTAATAGTTTTGATATATATGTACTATGTAAATAAGATGGAAATTTTACATGTGATATTCTGGATTCTATTCTATTTTTTTTAATGATGTTATGGGTTTGCTAAATTAATTTTATCACCCACTAATGAGCTGACCTAATCTAAACATTAATCTACATCATGTGTTACAGATAATTAGAAACATTGTTAACATATACAACCAAGGTGCTAATTACTCAATTCTATAGTGGGCGCAGAAGAAGAAAAGACACCGTTGAATATGGACAGAAACTACCTGGGAGGTTTTCAAATTAGAAAGAAGAATTGAGCATTGAATATATGGGTAAAATATGGTGTGATAAAGAAGAGGCAGTGAACGATTGAGAAACTTAAACTGGGGAATAGACCCTCAGATGCAAATGTAAAAAGATTTGTTTTCCTTTAAAAATAAAATCTAAGTATTTAACATAAAAATCCAACCGTTTAACCTAAAAATCTGACTATTTAACATAAAAATACATGAGAACACCATTTTGTATAGTAAAAGTCTCAATAATTTCAAAGATGAGAATTTTAATGTTTCACCTACAGAAAATATACAGAATTCTGAAAAATCAAATACAGTTTTCAAAGAATGAAAATCTATATAATTGATTTAGAACTTGATACAGTATCTGTTTTATACTCTTGTTATAAATTCAAAAGGGGTCAAATAGTCTAATAGCAAAGTGAAAGCAGCCTGAAAACAAGTGGTTGTACATTCCCCCAACCCAATTTTTCTGTGCTTCTCTTATGTTCAAAGATTTATGCAAAAAACAAAATTTTGGACTCTCCCCCTTGTCGATCTCTGTACACATTGCAAAAAAAAAAAAAAAAAATCCTAGGATATAATGAGGTATGCGGCACAAAACTAGCTGGCTGAACTCCTCAGTGACTCTCCCCTGCATTCACCCTCAGAATTTCTCTCTACTCCTGGAAAAAAGTAAGCAAACAAACAGAAACCCAGAAATCTATTTTGTATGTGTATGTAAAATGTGCACACCACAGTGCAAATATGTGATCATAGTTTTTAAATGTGCACGCTTGGCAGTTAGGTAATATCACTGTAATCGTTAGGTGAAATTTCAATCCCTTTGATGAAGATACCATCTTTCAGTCAGGCCCTGACAAAAAACCTTTGGTTCCTGTTAGACCCCTCCCTCCCCAGTCAGCTGCTGGGCTCCATCCGGAGGGATGGAGGCTCTCCCTCTCCATCATAGCTAAGCGTTCCCAGACCCAGGAGAAACCCTGGGTTCCTCCAGAGCACTCAAAGTGCAGAGAAGTGTCCCAGCTCTGCAAAGGGCAGCTGGAAATGGATTTAAAATGGCAACGCGGACCAATCAGCGCTGCCGCGCCAAAGCAGACATTTACACGCGCCTCCTCCACATGCACAACGGAACCTGGCGGTGCCTAACTCCTGCTTAGGGCTACAAAGTAGGCGTTTTTATTCCTCGGTGGTCTGTATCTTTGAAAAGAGAAATTCTTCCCCAGGTGAAAGTTTTTATTTTGGAATTAGTCCAAAATAATTTTGGGTGTGATGTGTGAAAATCTGAACCTAATTTTTTCAGAGTTTTGTGTTATTTAAGGATGAAAAGAGGTACATTTAAAACTGTACTCCACCTTTTAAAAATGGACTGTAGCCATTATGGTGTTCACGTAACTCAGAAACAGCCCAGGCTATAAAATTAGGACTTGGCAGAGAGTTCTCAGGCAGAAGGTTAAATCGAGGTAAACTGAAGGGAGAGTTGGGCAGTTAGTGCAATTGTGGTCTTAGGAATCTATGAGGTGCCCTTTACCCTGCGAAGGTCGGATTCCCGGGAAGGGGTTGGGGAGGGAACTTCGATCGCCTCTAGTCTTTCCTGGAGAAAACATTTCAATGAAGAAGCTGGCGCGCTGTGTGTGTGCACATTGTTTGCACGTGTCTGCGAATGTGCAGATCTATCTGAGTGCCTGTGTGTGTATAAATGCGCGTGTTTACAAGCGCATGCGTGCCCCCGTGTCCACGTGTATCTGCGTGCAAGTGTGCATGTACTTACACGCGTGTTCGTGTGTATCTGCGTGCATGTGTCCGTGTCTGTGCGCGCTCGCCCTCCCGCAGGCTCTGTGGTGAGGGCATTCCGAGGCGGAGTAGGGCTGTCAGGGACCCTCTTCCACTCCTTTGCAGTCCCTTCCCACTCACAGGTAACAGGAGCGCTGCCTCGGGTGCAGCCTAGACGCTTCTTGCAGTGTTGGCTCCTCACCTTGGAGGCGCAGGTAAACGTGGCTCCGGGACAGTCTCATTCCCGCGCCTTCCCAGGACAACCGCCCAGGGGTGACCTCGAACGGCGGGTGGGCTACACCCACGGCGAGGCTGGCCGGGATTCCCGGCCTGTCCCTTTAACCCCGCCGCCGGGCTGGAGCACGTGAGCCGGGCTCCGGGTGGCACCCGGGCGCCGCCGCCGCCGAGGCAGTTGTATTTCGAACGCTGCCTCTGGCTAGCGGCCAGGCGCCTTGGCTCCGGGGTCCGCCTGGCCTCCCTCCTCCTCATACTTTTCTTCCTGCGCAGCCCCCTCCCCTTTATCCGCCCACGATTAGAGGTGGGCACTCCCCCCCCCAGCGCAAGCGCGCGCGCGCGCACACACACACCACACACACTCACACTCACACACACTCACACACACTCATCCCACTTGAATCTTGGGGTGGGAACTCAGAAAACTTTCAGCCGGGCAGCGCGCGCTTGGTGCAAGACTCAGGAGCGAGCAGCCCGTCCCTCTCCGACTCTCCAGTGCAGCCGCCGCCTGCTCCCGCCACCCGAGGAGGCGCGGTGCCACCCACTGCTCTGTCCTCTGCCTGTGCTCCGCGCCCGACCCTATCCCGGCGGAATCTCCCCATCCTCCTTTGCTTTCCGACTACCCAAGGCACTTTCAATCTCAATCTCTTCTCTCTCTCTCTCTCTCTCTCTCTCTCTCTCTCTCTCTCTCTCTCTCTCTTTCCCTCTCTCTCTCTCTCTCTCTGCGGAGAAGGGCTGGGGGAAAGAGGAGGAGGAATTCTTTCCCCGCCTAACATTTCAAGGGACACAATTCTCTCCCAGTCTCTTCCCTTTCCAAGCCGCTTCCGAAGTGCTCCCGGTGCCCGCAACTCCAGATCCCAACCCGCGAGAGGAGCCTCTGCCACCTCAAAGCCTCTCTTCCTTCTCGCTCGCTTCCCTCCTCCTCTCGCTACCTCCACCTCCACCGCCACCTCCACCTCCGGCACCCACCCACCGCCGCCGCCGCCACCGGCAGCGCCTCCTCCTCTCCTCCTCCTCCTCCCCTCTTCTTTTTTTGGCAGCGCTGGACGTCCGGTGTTGATGGTGGCAGCGGCGGCAGCCTAAGCAACAGCAGCCCTCGCAGCCAGCCAGCTCGCGCTCGCCCCGCCGGCGTCCGCAGCCCTATCACCTCATCTCCCGAAAGGTGTTGGGCAGCCCCGGGGCGGTCGAGGCGAAGCGGCTGCAGCGGCGGCGGGAGGCAGGATGAGCGCACGCGGCGAGGGCGCTGGGCAGCCGTCCACTTCAGCCCAGGGACAACCTGCCGCCCCCGTGCCTCAGAAGAGAGGACGCGGCCGCCCCAGGAAGCAGCAGCAAGTCAGTACGCGGGCGCGGAGGGGGCACCAGCCCACTCCGTCTCCCCTGCCCGGGCCCCGCCACGCACGGGGCGGCCGGAGCGCGGGAGCCCAGTCGCCGCGGCCGTCGCACGCTGCCCGCCGGCCGGCGGGGGGGACCGGCGCAGACCCCACGAGTGCGCCTCGCAGCCCCGGGGCGCCAGCGCCCCTCCGGGCGGGGAGGTGGGGAGCCGCGGCGGGCGGCCGGGGGAAGGCGGGAGGTGGGGTCGGGCAAAGCGCGTCCTCAGAGTTTCGCTATTGTGCACCGCCCGAGTGGCGCGGTGTCTCCGGGTGACGGGAAGCGGCCGGAGTCCGACAAACCCGGGCTCGCCGGCGCTTTCCGATACGCTTTTGCAACTGCTAGGGGAAAGGAGGTGCCGGGGACCCGGGCGCTCCGGCGGATCTAGGCTGAAGGAACTGGAGTCCCGGGGGCCGGAGGCTCTTTCTCCCGCCTCCCGGGGCTGCTCGCGGGTCGGGGGCTGGCGCGCCGCAGCCACCCTCTTGGCGCCCTCCTCCAAGCTCTCGGTGGCCCAAGACTCGCGCCCTCCCGACAAAGAACGCTTGGAGACCCGGCTGCCTGGTCCTCTTCGGGCTCTTTAAATGTGGTGCGGCGGCCGCCGGAGGTGGCCAGGGGCAGGGGCCACGGGGGAGTCTGGTTCCCCGCGAGACCGGGTTAACTCGCCACGCCAAGGGCGCGTTGAAAGGAGTGTCCGAGAGAGTGCAGAGTAGCCAGGATCGCTTCCTTGTCAGGCGCCGGGTCCCCCTTTTGCCCCTGGACCCCGCGCCTCTGAGCTGCAGCCATTAAATGTTCTTCTCCTAGGCCAGTGGCCGAGGGTTGGGTAGGGGACGATCGAGGGGCGCCCGAGACCCCGCGGAGTGGAGGGTTTTGTCTGCGGATGCAACCAATTAAGCGTGCAGCCGGCGCTTGCAGAGCTGGGCGCAGCGCGCAGGACTGGGGGTTTTGTTCGCTGTAATTTCCAAGCCGCGGCGGGCAGAGTTGGAGCGGGATATGTCTATTGAGCACATTTAAACTCCACTTCCTCGGGCTTTAAAACTTGCTCGCTCCTTAGCCTTAATTCGCTTCCTTCGTGGCAAACAGGATGATTAGAAAATAGTCAGAGTCCCAAAGCTGCCCGAGAGCAAGGTGAGGAAATTGAACAATGTTGCTTGCCAGTGCATTTTAGAAAAATTGAGCGTTGTACCTTTTTGAAATCATCAAAGGAAACAAGCAGATTTAGAGGCCCCTGAGTTTTCCCGCTCTGCCCTAGCGACACTTTACACGGCTTTTGAATCCTGTTTTACACCTCCCAGGAAGTCTCTGCCCTCCCCCACTTGCTTCCCACTCGCCACCCAGCTCTCTCTGACTCACTAATTGCCCCCCGCTCCAAAAAAAATTCGAAAAGAAATTACAATGGAGTCTGGAGGTGATTGGATGCTTTACCTTTGAGTTAAGGCAGAGTTCACAAAGAAAGAAATATATGTCTCCGATGTGTTTGCTCTCGATGTGCCCACTGGCGCTAGTGGTCCCACAGAAGCTTGCAGGGAACCTTCCCCGGATTCTCTAAATGGGATGCGAATTTTCATTGAAAACTTTCACGAGTTTTAAGTTAATTAGTCTCACTTAATCCCCGAATCTGAATGAAATGTGAATAGATGATTCATTGGATAAATATTTGGGATCTGGAATATTAATCATCGCATTCTCTTAACCACTTGAGTATTTACTACTTGGCATAGGAGCCATTGAAAGTTTTGCTAAACCTAGTGATTGCTTCCATTTCTCATTCCCAGACACTCCATTCCTCCTTATTTTTACCCCCTTTTAGATTTCTCCACTACACCCTCGTAAGAGTTTTCTCAAAAGAGAGTTTTGAAGAAAATATGTTTATTTTTATCAAAAGATATTTAAATTTAGACTGGAGACCATACCAGCATCTCCAAAAGGAAGTGGAGAATTGAAGCGATTAACTAGATAATTCAAGCAAAACCTCCCACCATAGATTTACCATAATTATTTGGAAATTTTAGGGGGAATGGAGTTATTTTGGATTGAAGAACTTGAATAATTGCTTCAGTATTTCACTCAGAATGTGTCAGTTGAATCATAATCCACCTAGAAGGCAGGTATACAAAGACGATTAAAAGCCACCTTTTCAATATGGAAGATTGTTGAAACATCTATGATGTTAGCTTCATATTTCTGTTTGAAATGCTAGTATAATGGAGAGTGGTATTCGTTTAAAATGCTTATTATTTCTATGAGTTGCCAAATGCACAGCCCTGTCCATTTACATCTTAAAAGTATATGACTTTCTTTCTAGTACATGCAGCCTCTTCAGCCTTTGTTACCATTTTAGGTTTGAAGTAGAATCTAGTTTTCATGTACAAAATAGAGTTTCCTCTTTGAACCCTTGGATTAAAAGTATAGTTATTTCCCCTTTCTGTAAACTCTGTACCATCATCATCCATTTATGCTTGAACTGAATATGTTCCAACAGCTCTTTTGAGCAGCACATGCAGAAAATATAGCTAAAGAGTCAGGGTCAATTTCTTTATCAGACGTTCTTGCCACAACAGCATTTTTTTCCCCTCACAATTAGGAACCAACCGGTGAGCCCTCTCCTAAGAGACCCAGGGGAAGACCTAAAGGCAGCAAAAACAAGAGTCCCTCTAAAGCAGCTCAAAAGGTGAGATTTCTCAAGTTAAGCTCTCCTAACTTCATCAATGACTACAGGAGCCTCCCTGTAACTTTCCCATTCTAACTCTGCACCTAGAAATTTGTCCCAACTGGGTAACCCAAGACTCATTTCCTACATTTAACATTAGTAAGATGGGGGTTAACTTTTTTTCTAAGTAGATGCTCAGCATTAAAAGTTTATGCAGATACTTAACAGTGTTGATTTGAAACAAACAAACAGCTATCAAATAATTTGAACCTTAAAACAGGGGTAGAAGTGAGGAAGGAAGGGGGGTGGAGAATGACACAATATTTGTACCAGTTGTAAACAGTTAAAAACAAATCAAAACTATAGATATTGTCTGGTGGTAAAGTTTTTGCAATTACCCCTGAAAAATGATAGAGATTGATTTACTTTGTGTTTATTATATGGCTACTGAATACCAAATCCCCCTATTAAAGTACTTTGCCAAATAGATGATAATTAGAAGTAAATCTAGTTTCGGGATAGTGGGAAAAAACTGTGAATTTTACAGCTTTAATTGTGACATTAAAGTATACTGTTTCTTTCACAATAAACCTGCAGTATAGTATAATCTCAAAAAGTCTTTCATCAAGTAACACAGAGATGTCTGAATTGGACAATGAGACTTTTTTTAAACAAATATTTGGCTCATTTAATATCTCTTTTTGGGCAGAATGCAACCCAGTTAAGTGTGACATTCAGTTTTCTTAATAAATTTAAACTTGCAGTTTAAGACAACTTAAGGTTGGCTGTATTTAAGCTAGCAAAAAGGAACTATGTCAAGGTTAATGCATGTATAGAGAAGTACCAGTCACTTTTTTGCTTTATAAATAAATTGGGGAAAAAGTTTCTGCATTTTATTTGTAGGTTTGTAGAGTAATTGAGAACAAAGTTTCAAAAATCAGAAGTAAATTTGGATATACCTTTTCAACGGATTTGAGTACACCATGTACAGTATTTGTTAGAAAGGACTGTATTCTTATCGTTTGGGGATTTATGTTTTGTGTGGTTTTCTCTGTGACTTTGGGTACTAACTGTAAGATGTGTGATGGTTTTCAGTGTTGTATACTGCCACATCAACTAATAGCACATATAAAGTTTTAGGAAGTAATTATGAGTTCTTGTCTGTATTAGCAGTTTTGAACAGAATTGAGGGAGCATATTTCTAATATATTTAAATTTAATTGCTTCTTAGAATTTAGATTTAATTGTATTCCATAATCAATCAATAAACTTTAAACTAGCTCTAAGTGGCCATGTTATTTAAAAATGGCAATGTGTAATCTGGTATTCCTAATATGAATACTTTATATTTGTTTCATTTTACCCCCTTTATAAATTAACTATAAAGGACTGATTTTACTAAGGAGTTTTTCTGTTGTGTAAGTGTGGAGCTTACCTAATTTACTTTAATTCTAAGGAGATGCACAAATGAATATCCTGTTAGGTAGCTAACATATATTTAAGCCATGTTGTAATTCCTCTGAAAAATGCATCATGATAATATCTCCTAGGAAGAAATCTTTAAATTTCACCATAAATAAGTAATTTGAAATTCAATACTAAAAAGGAAAATAAATTTTCTCCCATGTTTCATCGTATTCCATGTTTTCTGAATGAATAGAAAGAAATATTCCCATCACCTCCTCTTCATTTTAAAAAGCTTATAATGACTAAGAAAATTTGTATTGAGAAATGGGAAGCTAAGAACTCTGCCTAATTTACCACCTAAAGCAAAATTTTTAAAGTTGATCTATTCCTAAGTAAGGGTGGATTTATTTTTAGTGACTCTAGTGACAGGTGTTTGTAAATGACCTCCCAGACCACTCATCTTTCTGAAAATTTTTCATGTATATGTATACATTATTCCAATTTCCAAAACAGAAGTAGGTTTTCCTTTTTCTAAAGAAGTCCTTCTCTAGAATCTCATTCTTTCAGACACCATTATTTCCTACAATGCCATTATAAGAATCCCTCTTGTAATAAAAATGAATAAATACATTTGCCCATAACACTACTGTTATTTGTCTTCAGTTTTATAAGTTACGCTTAATCTGGAGAAGATAATACCTTGCAAAATAATGAATGACATTGATGAATTGTTCATGGCATATGTAAACTTAGGGTATTTTCACTTTCAAGTCAGAATTTGTTGAGTATGTTACTATTCTATATAAACAAGATTTTCAAACATATTTGTTTATTAAGCATATATAGTATTCTAACAAAACATATGTTTGTCAGGATTTTGAAATGCAAATCTTTTTAGAAAAAATTATATTGTTCATAGCACATAAGATAAACATACCCCGTGAGACTGACCAGAGTAGATATGAGAAGTCTTCTATAAGTAACAAAGTGGGTGTTTTCCTGTAAACTGAGACCCATCACAGTGAAAAATACATTACAAAGACTGGTAAGTATATGAGAAGAAAGAATCCTAAAATTAGAGGATCTGTAATGCACACTGAAATCCTGATGGTTATATGCTTCAAATTTCTTGCTGCTTGGAGTTTCTTGACTAACAAAGTTTATATTTGGACTCAGCAACTGGCCTTGGGACATTTGAAAACAAAACTGTTTATTAGAAAATTAACAGTGTGAAACTGGACAATGCATGCAGAATATTGCAAGACCAAGTGAATGACTACCAATTAGCCATCTCTTTAATTTCAAACCATATGCAGTAGAAAATTAATTTATACTATATGTAAAACAAAGGTATTTATAAAAACACAATTTGCTGTGTTTGGAACTTTTGGAAGAGAATATAACTACTCTTCAGTCTACGTAATATTCCATTAAAACTAATTACTATGCATGACCATTGTGTGACAATGCTAGTCATTTCTCAGAACTCCAATCTGAGTGCTCAAGATTTGTCCTTGAATAAGTTTCATATAGTTCCCTGAACAAGAGAAAAGAAATCAGAAGTTAACGTTTTCCTGAATAGTTAATGTGTCCATGTGTGTATATGTCTGTGTAAGCGTATCTTTACCCTTTTATTTATTTTTTGGTCTGAGATACACCTATAACCAGTTATGTCTTAACTTCCTTTTTTGTTTTGTTTTGCTTTGCTTTACTCTCATTGTGCTGAATGGAAATCTTAGCATTTTCACAGCTCCCAAATGGTTAGAGAGAAAGAAGTTATAATCTCCTTTAGTTTAGAGTTTTGTTGTATTTTTTTAATCATGACAGAATACTGGAGGAGTTGTCACTAATTCTTCAGTGTTGAAGGTCTCAAATCAAGTTCATTTTAAAATTCTAAGCCAATTCTCATTCACATGTTTTTAGTAAAAATTTTTTTCTGAGGTTGAATTAAATTTTATTGGAAGGATAATGAAAATTTTGAAAAAAGGTCTCAGGTGTGAGATAACCGTACTTCATCATGTCATATGTTTGCTTTACCACCCTTTTGACTTTAGGTGTAATGGCCAGATCTAGGGAGCAAAGTACAGAATGAAAATATCTAGATAAAGTAGCTATAGTTAAAATAATGTGTTCAGAGAAAATGTTTAATCTCTATGTTCAATTTTCTGTAAAAAGAAGGCCTGAATTAATTAGATACTGTAAAGACTACTCCATGGCTCCTCCTAATCATTTACACTTCTAGAAATGTGGTTTCCTTTTCATAATTATTACCAACACCAATCACAGATGTTTTAGGAAGAGAGAAGAGGAGTTTTAGTTACCACTTCAGATAAATCACTCAGCATAGATGCTGAGTGAGGACAGAATTTTCTTCAGAATATAGTAGGCCTAATTGAAGGGAGAAACCAAAGGCAATATTATAGGTGAGTTAAGAAAGGTAGCACTGTAAGTTATCATATAATTCTGGCCTAAGGTTCTCTAAATTAAGTTACTGAGATTTAGTTTAATTCCTCTGTGTTTCAGTGGGCAGGTAAGTTTCATTGTGGGATTCAGGGTCCTATCTGAGGATACAAATGAATTCAGGCAGGTGGAATTAAGTAAAGCCCAATTGTTGTTCCACTGTCTTGATATTTCAGGCTGACTTACCTAAACAATTGACATATTTTTTCTTTCATTTTGCCAGGGAAGACAAAGCCTTACTTCATGCATCAGCACATTCTATCTGGCAGTGCTTTGAATCCTCACAGATTATGATCCAAATATAGGAAATTAAAATACATTTGAATTATCTTATGAAGTAATTTTATTTCAAGGGACCCATAGTTCTACTTCTCTGGAAGCTCTCATCCTTCTGAACTCTTCTGAACTTGAAGGCTTCTCATTTCTCTGGCTGACCTACATTCCTGGCTCATTTTTATCTCAAGTTCTCAACAGATCGTTTTGCTGAGAAGATAGAATATACCAGATTGGTATTCCGTTGCATTTCAGTTCTTTCTGGAGAATAGATGGATGCTGAAGAGTACTTTATGTCGGTTAAATCATTCAAACCTGTCTTGTCTTGTTACTTGACTTTCTGCAGTTTCCAGAGCAGAAGGCACAAGGTGGAAACTGAATTTAATTTCACTGTCCTAGATTCTGAAGGTTTTAGTTATGAATCTTTGTTCTGCCAACCAGGAGAAAAGGGGAAATGGAGAACTGACTATCTGTTAGGGCATTGCTTTATTTCATATTGTTTTAATACACTGAGCAATTTTGAATAGCATATTCTATTTAATTTAGGGAAGACTAGTACAGGCATTCCCTTTTGTCTAGGATAATGTTTGCTCAGAAGGTAACTCCTGTGAGCGATAGCAATGATCTCTTGTATCATTGCTATTGATTTTTCTGATTACAAAAGAGGTAGAGGGGAGATTTGGAGGAGGAGAATCCTAAACTCTGACAGTGATAACTTTCCCTGTCATTCTGGCTTTGGTTTTAACTTAGTATTTGTATACAGGAAGATAAGCATGTGCAAAATAAGGACACACCAGAGTTGACAGTAAGGGCTAACTTGGGTAATAAGCAGGAACTACAGTGGGTGATGGGAGTTACTTATATTTCCTATTGGAAAATGT